CTTTAAGGTAGTTATGTGTGCTTGGCAATTTCGCCCTCAGAATAGACGGACCAGTGGATGATACAGAATGGCTTCAAGGAGGTGAGATGACGCTTTGTACTCATCAAAGTGTGGCGGCTTGTGAGCAACAGCTGTCACAAACCCACACACTACTTGGAAAAACACGTTAAACCAGATAGTGTATCTAGTGAACCTAAGCTACGATCTGTACAGAGATATCCGAGGGAATGGGTGGATAAAATTGGGTACCTCGAATAACACTCGAAGTTGTGGAATCGGCTCAGCTTCCAATAAGAGTCGATCGTCATATGTTTAGTAGCAAAATGTTGTCTTGACTGGCCTATAACGCACAGCAACTCCACACATACGCACGCACACACACACACACACACACTATGCACAAAGCAGGCCATCAACAGCAAATCGTTACCACTTATTGGACGCAAAATGAATGCTCGCTAACATTGTGGAACAACGAAATGTTTGGTGCACATGAAGCATATGCAATTTGACTCATTCTGGATATGAAAAACACCGTCCGCTGCACGGGACAAGAAGGGACACGTTATAAGCTGCATGATATCGTTTGTAAACTAGAAGCTACCTAGAACTGTTTGAAATCACAGAGGGGGTTGCTGAATTCACACTAGACGTGAAGTTTATCTCCCTACGCAAAGTGAGCACGGTTAGATGGGCGCATTTATGGGAGGCTAGCTTGACTATTGGAGAGGAGAGCACTTGGCGGCACGTGTGTCTTCGGTCTGGGACGCGCGTGTGTAAAAGCAGTGCAGGATCAGCTGGTAACGAGGTCAGCGGAACAACCAACAAGATGGCTGCGAGAAATCTAGAAATTCAGACCGAAACGGAGATGAACGAAAAATTCAAAACGTCAAGTGTTTGGCTACCCTCCCCCGATTTGTGTTTGGTCACAATGAGACTTCCGGTTTTTGTGTATAACCCATTTCGGATCGTGTGGAGTGTTTCTCTAAAGTGAAATATAATCCTAGCCTACTCAAAACTCCACGAAAACTGGACAGCACACTACCGATTCGGCCTGTCAGGCATACGATCCTGGGTGCGTTTGAAATCTTGGTGAGAGTCAGGCATACGATCCTGGGTGCGTTTGAAATGCTTGGTGAGAAAAAAAATTAGTTGGAAATCCATCTGAAGTTAATCGCATCATCCTCAAATCATTTGCTTGCATCTCTCACATTAGTAGGTGCCTTTAAAACTACTTAAAGATACTGGTAGCCTAGTGGCACTGTTGGCTTCATCCAGCCGACTCCATCTCCACGGACATGACGTTATCCGGAGTCTTTTCCACCAGTTTGGTGCTCGGACGTACCATCCGCAAGCCAAGATAGCGAATCTGTGGTAAGTCACCTGTTGCAACACTTAGCTCTCAGCGAATATATCAGCAAGACCTTCACACGAAGGCGGTTAGTAATAGTCATTTATTTATTTTTGTCCCAAGTTTAGCGAATCCGTAATATGATATGTGAAAAGCGCGTAAAAATCGAACATCTGTCTAACCGAAAGGTTTGGATGCGTCATCATCAGTGTCAGCTGTAAGAACCGCGTACTTGTCGTACAGTGGTTATAGCTGTCACAGTCTCGTTCACCGATGACGTGGGGAAATTGGGAAGGGAGCTATGCATCGAAGGCAATAGCTTGGATGCGCGAGCACCACTGAGGACGCGACTGAGCCATGTCTCACAATGTCTCGATGTGGCTCGTCTCGGGATCCCCATCCAGGAAAACGACAGTGACCAGCGCAGCTGAGTTTGCTGGTAATGGCTCTTATACTTCGCTTCCAAGTCATTGTTTGATCGACTATGGCTCGTTTCCACCCTTCATGTGGTTGTGCGAAAAGAACCTCTCGAGGAAGTCGGTTGACTGGCATACGCAGTGTGGCTGGAATTTCCTACGATTCGTGGTAACTTTCGCTGCGCATCCAGGTATTCTTACTGAGTACGTGTACGACACAGTTTTCTTCAGAGAACCTGAGAGCTTGGGCTTCTCACTAGCCGGAGTGACATCAATAAACAGGTCACGTTATTCTTCGACACAGGTCGTTCATCGCTAATAAGCAGGCCTTGAAAGGCAAGATTAATTACATCAAGATACATCTCCCTGTGACTACAGTATCATCAAAGACAATATCATGAGAGTAGTTACGACAAACGGTGTTGACACTGTCCAGTCAATCGGGCGTTTACCATGACCGGTTCACTGCTTAAAAGTGTGGAACCGACGCCGCGTCGTGTCGGTAACCTATCCAACCATTTATTAGTGACACGAAAACAGGTCGAATACCACATTAGCTTGTTACACAGCGAATTCCAACCTTTAAAAATCAGTCGTAGATATCCCGTGAGGCGTCGACGACATCACACTGGCTTGGTGTGAGAGGATCTACCTCTTTCTTATCCCTGTGTGGCATTGCGTTCTCTGTGTCAGATATGCAGAAACCGTCTGCAATCCTTCCACCACGTGACCTTTCTTGCATTCTGGGATTGATTTCCGATGGGATTTGTCAGCTGTCGACCAAAAAATCATTCAATTTTGTCCACAGAGAGAGTAGTAGTGGCGAAACAAGGCGGCGTATCCTAATTGGATGTCCTCTCGTGAGAAGACGTTCAGAAACCATTCATTTGCTCTCTCTCACTACTTTCTCGTATGTACAAAAATAGATTTGCATTGAGGATAACATCTTTCGATGAGAATACCACTAGTTGTGTGATTGGACCAATTCTGTCGTTGTTCTTTTATCTCGAGGTATGCATTCAAAGAAGTCGCTCCCAACAACGTTGAGTAAGTGGACCTGAATGGTCCAGTTGTCTCACCGAGAGCCAGTTGGTGGGAATGTTGATAAAGCGAACGAAATGATCCTTACCCAGGAGACTGATCACTCTCACGGAGACACCAGATAACAGAAAAAAACACAATGCCTCACCTTCAATGACATCGTTCTTCAATTGCTGCACTTCTCGACGAAATTCAGCCATTAGCTCTCTTTTAAAGGCTTCCAAATCAGCGCGGGAAACCGTTGTACCATCTGTGGCAGCAGGATTAGAAGATCCGCTGGAAGAAGTCATGCCGTTGCCACTGCTGGACAGGAAGTTCAGACTGTTAGTGTCTAAGGCTGGACTGGAGTTCTTTCTCCTACAAATAAAAAAATGTTAAGAATTAGGACCGTCACGAGACAAATACTCCGTATTGTCGCCAGTCTCCATGCGCAATCAAAACTTTCATGCAGATCCAAGTGGAAATAGGTAATGTTGTTCGGTTCGGTATACAAAACGATCACCAAAGTTCATCACGTGGCACACGGTCGCCGGCGCGAAAGCGGGCCAATGAGGAGGCTTCGGCACGAATGACTTCAGTGGGTGCAACCGACAATGCGGTAACGGGAGTCTCGGATGACAGTCTCGTAAATATGGCGACTAATATTGATTAGCTGAACTATCGTTAATTAAGTAAGCTCAATCGATTTGTTTGGAAAGGCGAGCGGCTAACTCTAATTCTCATATTTCCCATCGTGACAAATCCACAAACCAGCCCATGTTCAGCTGTGGCACCCTTTCGGTTCCTCACTACCATGTCACCAGAAGGAAGCATGATGGCTGGCATATTGCCGGGTTGCCCAAGCCTAGACAGGGAAAGTCAAGGGGCAGAGGTCGGGTTCGAACCACGGACCTTTCGGTCAGTAAATCCGCGCNTAAATAGGATATTATTCTTCTCAGTTCTTGTGACATTTTGTTTGGCGGGCGGGTGCCAACAAGGCCACATTAGTGTCCAGTGGAAACGAACGTCATTCAGTCAGAAATAAACAATACAAAACGAACTAACGAACACTAGGATGCACGGAACTGTCGGGTAGCTGTCGACCTGAACTTCAGTTAGCCTTATGACCATTATCGCATTATAGTAGCTAGGTAGAGAGCACTACTGCTTGTCTGGTTGTTAAACGCTAGCAGTGGGTTACAGATAACAAGTATCATGGGTAGTTTGATGAGAGTCATTCGTTTCAGCCACCCTCTGGCCATTGTTCTAATCACCTTGCGTTGTATCGACCAGTAGTTAAAGTTAACGGTGCTGTGGCAGAATTGAAAATCTCACTTGAGGGAGCTCGTGTGGACGACTGATCGACATTGGTCGTTCCACACCACATGAAAACCTCGTGGGCTGTCGACGGATTTTCAGCAACCTTATGAGTAGTACATTACAAGGAAATACATGTATCGCGATATCTCGAATATCGTAGCGACTGAAACATGAGGCGGCCTGGTGCAGCACATTCAGTTGCCTGAGAACATCACAAACGAGGGATTCAGCTGGGTTCCAGGTGAGTCTCCCGAAAAACCAAATTAGTTTGCAGATGAGTGTATATTCGCTGAAAACCTCCTTGTTCACTGATTCACACCTGGCTACAGTGGGGCCTTTCCTGTTCATAGCCGTCACAGGAATTGAAGTGGAGCATAAATTCCAGTGATTTGGAACGCGAGTTTTTTCTTCGGGTTACGAACCAGAATACCTCAAGTGTTGTGACTGACCATGAGTTGTATGAGCGAGAATCAGAGGAAAAATGGATAGCTTATTCACCTCCCTACAACAGTGACAGTTTGGACAGTTTGTATAATTGAGATCCGCAAATCGGGGAGTGATATAAGCTGACATAATATCGTACAAAAAAGTCGGCAGCAAGATGAAGAAGGATGTTAACGTGTCAACCTGTCATGTGCACGCTGGGGGACACATTTACCGGATGTGCTGACGATCGAAACGAAAGGATATCACATTCCGTCTTAGATGCCAGAAAAACCGAACAACCTCTACGTGACATGAACGAATGGGTGATCATGAAATCAGTGCAAGAGCACGAATTACGGAAACTCCATTCGGACAAATTGATGGGATGGACGTACAGTGTAGCGAAGCCCGGAACGATTGATGTCGCTCGGCCGGTAGACTGTTGTTGTTGAGAGGGGTTGGCGTTGGTGGGCGGGCGGTTACCATTAACGGACTGTGAAGCTGGGGCGTCGCCAGCTGGAGAATCGGTGACGTCACTTTCCTACAGGAGAGGCATGTAAAGTTGGGAAATAAGTTAGAATTCCAAGAGATAAAGACACTGCTGTGACCTTGAGGGTTGGCACCGAGTTTGGCAATCGGTAGAAAGCATCAGAAGCTGAAAATTCTGAATCGAGTAGTAAATGTGCGACGGCGCCACGAAAATAGTCTGGCGAAGTGCCCGTACATATTCTTTGGTTGAAAGCGCCCCGGGTATCGTTGTTTGTATTTGATCGATGGAGTGAGTGGTCTGGGAACGGTAAATGTTATCAATTCCAAAGGTATATGGGTGCGGGCACTGTGCAAACAAGCCTCCAATAGCATAAAAACTGAATGGAGCTCGGACTTTAGCGATTTTATTTGGTAGTTCAAGATGAGGGAAACGACGAAGACTTGTTAGAATGTTGGTTATTCACACGTTAATTTCTTCAGAAAGGCACAGTCAAAAACATGTACTCACAAGTGCCTGGGAATTCGATTGATTTCAACTCTGATGATGCACATTAATTGCTTGGAAGAGTGAACGTCATGAACAGCATACTAAAGCAACACATAGGAGGCGGAAAACAGTCCAGGCAGGACCTTGACACAGCTACGCTTTAAAACATCGGGTAAAACAGTAGTGTTTGTCAAATTATGTGATCGAAATGGACCGTTACTTTTTGCACAGTACTGAACTTCATGGAATTCACGGACCTTTTTGGAAACGACACGGATTGCTGAACCTTCGGGGGGGGGGGATCACGGAAACTGTCTACAACATGGTTCCTCGGGCACCTACCTTGAGTAGCTTAAATCGAACAATCTTTCGTTTGTCTCAAGGGAAAGCAAAGCTCTTCATACTGACAGTCAGGGGTCGTGCACCACACACGAATGCAACCCACGTAGATACCTATGATGTGCCAAACAACATTCAGGCGGAGGCAGAATAAATTAGCGAATTGGTAAGACGAAGGCTAAGCAAAACAAGCTGGACCAGGAGACAACAAACTGTGATCAGTACGGAGCGAATGATTTAGTTGGTTATCTTGGAAAGTGTCTTATGTTCTGCCCAGGTTCTGAATGAATCTAAAAAAAGTAACCAAGAATGTGTGATTATGAGATTATGAAAAAAATATATGAAGGAAGTTGGTCCGAACAGCATCGGGCGATTCAGCAGACCTACATCCTTTTGTATACTTTTGACGCCAGAAGATGGCTTGGGAACATCAATCGTACCATGTGCTGAATGTTAAGTAGCCTGGCGTTCTTCGGCAATTTACCGATAAACATTTCGGGTAACCTGAGTGTACAGAGAGCTAAAAGTCTATAGTACACAGTGTCCGCAATTTTTGTTCATCTATATGTAAGTATTGCTTACTGGGCTTCAGATCACGAGCTTTCTTTCCGTTTTTCATAAACAAAAATCGTCGTGAACACCTACCTTCAGAAAATCACTGCCCCCTGGTGACTCCATAGCATGCATAATACAAGTCTCAGCATCTGAAGCTTGTGGGGCACCGAACGAGCTAAATGTGGTACTTATCTGGAGCCACAAATTTTCTGTACACCTATCGATGGTAGCCTCCTGAAGATGTATCAGCAACTTTACAGAGAAGACCATAAGGAAGCGACCCTATTTTAATCTATCGATTAGCCCCTTCCACTGCGGTGTTTTTACCACTTCAAAGGATTGGGTCAACAATGTTGCTGAATTCCGATATCTTGCTGAAGTTGAGCCAGTATGATGGGATAGACACCAATCGATCACGCTCAACATGTGCCTACCACATGACTCATTCTTAGCCATTGTTTGAACTGTTGTCGTGGCGCTACATATGAGCAGACCAAGCTACCAGATAATAATAGATAACGACAATTCTAGAAAGCCAAAATCAATTTACGGAAATCCATATCCTGGAGGTTAGCTGGGCTGCATATTCCTTCAGTGTTTTGAGAAGTATTAGGGTGAAATAAAAGCGTCGATCACATAACTCAGGAGAGAACAGATCAATTATTGAATCGGAGAGACCAGGGCAGCTTTTGCTAACCTCTAACACTTATGACGCCGGGATGGCTCCAGTTTGTTCGCCAACGACAGACAATTCACCGCGGCGGTGCGATTAATACTGGCTCATGGATAAGAAACGTGGTATCCAAGTAGAGAGGATGTACGTAAACTCTCGGCGTTTGTGCATCGCCGTCTCCGAGGCATTGGCCAGGTTGGTTAGGAACATCAAATCAGAAATGCTGAAGTACACCAGCTGGTTTTACGGAACTCACGCGGAACTCTTCCACGATGGAGGAGCTACTCACGCTCCATATGTTCCTTGGTTAAGACATGCAATTCTCATGAAAGAAGACCGTTTAGCCCGCACAACTCCTTTGCCCAGCAGTGTCCCATAGACACCATCCGTATTCCGCAATTCTGCGACCACAAACCACCCACCAAAACAATCTCAAACAGCCGACAATATCAAAAGACCATTTTCGCATTCTCGTGAACACTGTATCACTCACTACTCATTCACACACATATCGTTCGCTTGCGCATAGTCTATTTGCTAGAGCACCACTCACCTACCGCGAGCAATCCTGCATCACCAACCCGAGTTATGCGAATTGCATAACGGCGCGTCCGGTTTCACAGACAGGCACGTGTGCTTGTTTGATAACGAGAACAGTTGTGTACTGCTGAGATCATCAATGCCGGGTACAGCTGAAAAAATTCTAGCGATAACTCGAGTTTGTTTTCGGCCAGGTATGACATACATAACTAGCTAAGAAGTACCGAAACAATTATTTTGTGCAGCTGGAAGAATAGACGTGGAAAAAACCTCAGGTCACTTTCTACACGGAGGATATGAAGTGGATCTTAGGAGGCCTACGCTTTGTGCTCCATTGATGACTGCACATCACTGCGTGTCAGCTTGGCTGATCTAAAACCGCTCTCCACACGCTTGTCAGTTCTATGCTACATTATTCTATTCGGCCGGAATGCTTGGCAGTTTCCACCGCCTCGACCACCAGTAGCCTCGGTGTGAACCTAGGTCCTTACCACAAGACATACATATTCTCCAAGCCTATTGTATGTCCTGCGTCCAGTGCGCGTCTGTCATTGTCTAGTCCTTAACTACCACCTGATATTCATCGGCGTTTTTTGGTAGTTTGTTTGTGTGCCACTTGTGCTCTCCAATGTGCAACTCCGTGGCTAGTTGAGCTCCTATTCCCACCAACCGAAAGGGGATCTTTCAGTTGTTGGTCGTATTCAACACCCTTCGAATGACTTCAGACGTCTCTGTTTTGTACGGAATGAATTGCTACCAGAATCGATTCCTTACTGGATCTTGGTGCTGTGGCTAATATTCGCCTTAGTCGGCGCACAACTAAGCTCATTGGTTAACCGCCTCTTGAAGTGTCCTGATGAAAAAATGGAGTAGATTTGGAGGGAATCAATGTGGAGTACAGCAAGTTTGTCGTGCTTTGTAGGTTCTCTTTTTAACAGGGAATCACTGTGCTTTAGTATTTGATGTACTGTCTAATTAGTCAGCCTTGGGTTCGTTTGAATGTCGAAAGGACACTTTTGAAGTGCCACTCAACGACCACTCCTCATCTACAACCGTATGGCTGTGAGAGTTGGAGAAAAGTTAGGCTATCCTCTCCTTCCTTTAGACAAAATGACTATGAAGAGGTCTGCGAAACGTGATTTGTTACATAGTACATTTGAAATGAGAGATATGGATGAAAAAATCGGGCAAACTACAGGTAGACCAGTAGACTACGGTGCATTACCTAATGCGCAACAATTTTTAACGCATAAAAATTAAGGCGCGAAAAACGCTGGTTCTGAGACGTTCCACTTATACGCTTTGTGCAACGATATACGATATATGGAAACGGTCACAAGAATGCCGGAATACCACAAGTGAAGTAACTAATCAGATAACAGAATGATAAGGAACCCTCATATGGTTGGACAGTATAATGGCTTGACCACATCTAGCATTCAGTCAATCATCTTCACCTGGGGGCGAATTCAACAACTGGAAGGTTCGTTGTTCGAACCCGGCCTCTGCATCTCGACTTCTCCTGTCTAGGCTTGGGCAACTGGCAGTATCCCAGTTATCGTGTTTCCCTCGAGTGGCATGACAGCTAGACAACTTCATTTGTTATCTAGGTGGATAAGCGAAAGAGACGAAGAAGCATGTGTGATACTGGGAAGGCTGACCAAGGTCATCCAGTTCCTCGGTATGTGCTAGGCGCCGACAAACTGCTGCGCGACGTCGTCTGTATAAATATGCCTCTGAGGATTCAAGCAGGGACACTGGAAGTTGTGGGATGCTGTGCGTATCTCGGAAGTCACAATAACTCTGATGGTATTTTGACAAACGAAGTTAACACACTAATCCCAAAGGCCAGAATTGCTTTTACCAATTCGCATTATTTGCGGCATCAAACGTGCATACAGCTGATCTCAAAGAACGCGCATATCAGGCTACAATGCGGAATGTATTGTTGTACGGTTGCGGGGAAAGGCAGTTCTGGCGGAGGATCTCGGACGTCTTCAGTTCTTTGACCACCAATGCCTCAGACCTATAGCTAAAATCGGCTGCAGCCAACGAATTCGTAGCGATCAGGAGACCGTTGTTCCATAAAGCAGGGGATCTTCACCCAAAGAATACCCTCGGCACTGCGGACTAAGGTGTCTGGGTCATACTGAGTTATTACCTGCGGACAAGTGTCGTTTTTCGGCCTAATTTAGAGTGGCGGGAGCACGGAGGTGGACAGGTGGACATGGCGCAAGAAGATGAAGGATGTTACGAAGTCCGGGTGCCATTGGTGCTGTTCGCCTACCAGGACGGGGTTCACATGACACTCCCTGTCCTTGGCTGGAGACAATGAACGATATGGCGGCTAATCGATGTCGGTGTAGGCACATCAGAAGTTTGCTGTGGGCTAGCCCTAAGTCCGTCTACGTGCTCCATTTCTTTCTTTCCATTATAAGGTTCGACTCAAATAAATTGACACAGACGGTTGTAGGGCAGTGAAGCGCCAGTGTTCTCATCTGATGTTACTGTCAGGACCAGACCACTTTCAGTCTCGCTCAGCGAAGGTGGTCTAGATGATGGTAGGGCTGGTGACTTACACGGTAGGAAATCCAACTAAACCCTGGGGATTGGGGATAGTACTCAGTAAATAGCATTGAAAAATCCAATCCCGAAAGATAGGTTGGCGAAAAACGAAGTGAACAGACAGCTTTTTAAAAATTAATTGTCGCTTTCAGACAAAGTGTGTGTTTAGTCGGCCGTGAAACACAACACTGCTGATAAGGTTAATGAGAATAGCAGACAGCTCCCTTACCAGTTTCGCTTTGTAGATTGAGCGAATCAAGCTGGTGAATAAATTGCAGCGAGTGGTTTCGGTGAGGACTGGATGCATCGTATGATTCGTCGGAAAGGGGTGTATTTGATGCGAGACACAACAGTGCCAGTCCCCTCTGATCTACATGCACCACACGCAACACAGATCCACCGATGCATCGGTGTAAAGGGTACATCAGGGAACAAAACATGCTTCCTTTGATCTCCGGGAATCAAAACAACTGCGAATAGTTTTGGTTGTAATTTGTACTAATTTCTATTGCAGGTACTCGGTTTCGGGTGCCGCACGACGGGTCGGTTAACTGTCCAAAGAACTCGCATACGTAATGTGCTGGGGTGCCTCAAAAGGCTAGGGGAAGGCTTGATGTAAAGAAACCACCCACTCGGTTGCTTTCGCCTGTAGTGGGATGCAGTGGGTACTTGTTCAGTTGCCACGCGGGAAATGGGCCCTCGCCAACCGATTTAGCATCCGGTCAACTTTCAGAACTTTGCGTTAAGTTTGTTCCGGCAAAAACTGATTGCTGGAAAGTGCCCCATGTATGTACATAACCAGCCTGCTTGGTACAACTAGTTTTGTCCCCTTATTACTTACTCTCTTGAGCTGACCGACAATATAGGTGACTGTTGCATCGTACCAAGCAAAAGCACGGCCATGCTGGCATTTCTCATGTGTCATTTATCAATGTATGTATAAAAGTAGACGGTAATTAGTACTCAGCGGAGAGACAGGGAGAGAACGAACCTCCGCTTCTTTTGCGCGTCGTCGAGCGGCCAAAACCCTTTGTAAATCGGAGATCATGTCCAATCCGGCTGCACGTCCCACAGTGGCGGAACCCTGAGATTCAGAGCCCACATTGGCTACGGATGCCGCACGTAGGCGGTGCTGCTTGGCCATTCGGAGCTGCGCCGCCAAACCTCCTTCGTTTACACCAGATACATCGTCTTCGTCGTCACCCGCGTCAGAAACGGCCGGTGGAGTGACGGTCGATCGATGCAACGGACGACTGGCGCGTGCTGTGTTGGCAGGTTCATTGGGGAACAACGGCGGGGGTGGAGGCGGTATTACCGGTGGAGCAGTGGGGGCTGAATCAGGACCATTGGGCAACGTACCTAGAGGCGAAACCAAGCAAGAGAACAGGCGGCTTTTAGAGAAAGGTTCCTGATGCAAAACGGCTTCATGTGACATAGACGAACATCTACGGAAGTGACTATACGAACTGGTGAGTAACGAATTTCAAACAGCACCCACCACGCTGCATGTGCGACTAATTTACACAGAGGTACAGTAACCAAAAAGAATCAAATTAAACTGGCGCCAAGCTGACACGTCCTCAGCCCACCCGGTGAGGCCATATGTGGAGTAATTTTATTGACAGCGCACGCTGTGAACACAATTTCTTTCTGTGCTGTAGACTCGATAGCCAACTTCAACTGAATCATATTCACGGTCCAAATAATTAACTCACCGTGAAAAATTCTCCTAACTCCAGTCGGTGGCACACCATATTAACCGTTCGAAATTCGTTCGACAGAACAATAAAAAGCACGTAAAACTAGGCATGCAATTGCCCGATGGACAGACGTGCAACCACAGTTCGCTACGTACCAAATTGATCCACAAGTTTATGGCAGTTTACGGTGAACTATTCACCGCAAGGCAGCAGAGCCGGACAAACCGTCTTGTCGATTTAAGAGGATACTGGAGATTAGACGAAATCAAAGCTTGTTGCCGGCTCCGAGTCGGAGTCCAAATACGTCGAATCAGGAGCAGTCTGCCTAATAAGGCCATGAAACTCAGTTCAGAATTCAAGTACACTTCCCTTTCAACACACCGCAACGGGTCTGCTTCAAATGACAATGTTGTACTGTCTTCATTCGGAATCAACGACAGATGTTACGTGGAGTTGTAAAGCGGTCAGTAAACACTAGGATTTTGGGGTTGGACTACGATAAGAATGCGTTGAGCGCACGAGTCCCGCGATAGCAGGTTCGGGACCACACATTAGGATGGAACTGAGCGTGAGCTGATGAATCGGAATAACGGTTGTGGTATCCTTGACATTTTTGAACGTGTCAGTACCAAGACGGCGAGGTGGCTCAATCTTGACATTTTTGAACGTGTCAGTACCAAGTGTCAAGGCGGCGAGGTGGCTCAATTAATTAGAGCGCGAATTTACTGACCGGAAGATCCCTGGTTCGAACCCGACCTCTGCCTCTCAACTTCCCCTGTTTAGGCTTGGGCAACCTGGCAGTATCCCAGCCACCGTGCTTCCCTCGAGTAGCACGACAGCTAGGCACCGAAAGGGTGTTACGGCTGAACAACCTTTTAAGTATCAAATTCATCGCACGGTGCTACAGCTGTAAAAGCAAGGTAATTATAGAGAATGGTCGGTCGACAGTCAATATTTGAGTGAAATAGGCACCATACCCCGCAGCTATTAAAATGGATAGAACTTTCACACTTGGTCCGCTAGACTTTGGCAAACGGTAGCCCACAGAGTATATAAAGATCCGGAACGAGAATGAATGATAAGCACAAAATATCACCAACTGGTGGTGTTCCTTTCGAAAAAAACAAAGACGCATTCTAACAGCACAAGCCGAAGGTAGTTGTTGGTGAATCTATATGCACTGGGTCACCACGCTTTGCATCATTCTGTTTCAGCTCCATGATACAAGTAGTAGCGTAAGCAAGAAGAAGCAATGGACTCCATAAGTGAGGCCTCAGCTGTCTCAAATTCACATCATGGTAAAACCGAGCGAGCGGTCGAATGTTAGGGGAGCTTCAGACACCATGATCGGATGAGCATGCGTCACATTCGGCAACATACACACAAACGACTGACCGGAAGGCAATGCACCACCAGCAAGCCGAATTGGAAATGAGTCGAAAGACCATAACCAGTTGAAAAATAAACGTATTCATAGAGACAAAGACATATGAAGCGGAGAGATGTTCCTCACTGTGAGGTACACTAGGACTGATGCGGGTCATTTGTGCGAACTGCTCTAACTTGACAACAGGCCCGAAAACGTGTAGAACGGATCAGGCCAATTGGATCCCCGTCGCCAGGAACCAGAAACCGTTGAGATCAAAGTTGTATGGTACAGCACACAGATAATTGAGCTGAGGGGCACTAACCTGAACTGACGGAAGGGGATATGGATTGGTTTGGATTGCTGCGGGCTTCATTAGGACTGGTGCGAATCTGATTCGGGAAGTTGGCACCATCTCTCGCGACAAGACCTTTGACGCTGTCATCCGAGGACGAGTAATAACTGAGGGTAGAGAAGGAGATAAAATGGAGCAGAGTACAGACGGGAGAGGTACAGTTGTATTGGCCGTGAGCTGTTTGTAACCCAACTGGCTCACTACTACCTTGTACCCAATCAACATATGGTGAGCCTTACCTGTAACCCATTGTCTCACCTCCTAAAGCAAGGAACCATACGGGATGCCAAAATAACAAAGTCATGCGCTTTTTCACCAACGTGTGGATGAACCGGGTGACAAAATCGGAATCTAAGGGAAAAACTGCCGACGGAACTATACTACTAACATATTGAGGCACGGTTGCTCTTGGATGTGAGTGAATCAAGGTTTTTTGCTACAGCCTGAGCAGCAAGTCAGTCAGCTTTTCAACCACAAACAGA